AGGGAGTTGACAACCTCTGCTTTCTATGAACACTCAACTTCTGATGGTTTTGCCCTCTTCTATGTAGCAACCTTGGAGTTATGGCATCCCTGCTCCTTCTGCAGAGCTACAGCAAATCCCATCATCTGTGGTGTCAGGGAGGATTCCCTGGATCCCAGATGAGCACTCTGAAACCCACCATCCTTTCACAGTCCAAGCCTTCTCCTGCCTTTGTCCCAGAGGATCCCAGCATCTGGCCGCTGTGCTAAGTCACAGTTGGCAACTCATCCTCAGGAAAGACAAATAGGGATTCCTTTTTTATCTCTTTCAAACCATTAGAGTTGTACAGGGTTGCAGATGCAGGTATCTTTCTCTAGGGGTGGAGGAGAAGGGGGAGAGTAGGATGGAAGGAGACTGTAGGAGATAGAAAGTCTACTGTACCGTCAACTCCTTATTACTCACTGACATAGATAACACTATCCCAGAGTATCCAAGAAATAGGTATTTCATTGTTGTTCTTGGTATTCATATATTGTATGCATTTATTTTGTTGACTGTGTTTATACTGCTAACTTCCTACAGGAGGAACGATACTTGACTACACATGGAACCAGGCAGAGTCTCGGCTACCCATCATATACTGTATTTAAACCTGCTAGACACACATTTTGCTAATTATCCCTTATAAGGCTTTTTCTTTTAGGGCACCAACCAGTTTCCAACTCATGACATGGAGACTTCTCATTAGCTATGAATGCTCAGCCTACCTTAATATCTTTTCTGGCTAGCTCTTTCAGCCTAAATTAACCTGTTTCTCTTCATCTACCTTTTTATTTTTCTTTATTTTTCAGGCTTTTCAATTTTCTTTCCTTCCATATATCTGACCTTCATTGGTTCTCATGTCTGGCTGTCTGGTGGCTGCCTGGCTTCTTGCTCAAGGCATGTCCCCTTCTTTCTCCTCTCTCCCTTCTCCTTTCTCTTCTTCTCCTGGAGCCTAGAGTTCTCCTCCTACTTATTCTCTCTGCCTGCCAGCCCCACCTATCTTTTCTCTGACTAGCTGTGGCCACACAGATTTTTATTAGGCCAATCAGGTGCCTTGGGCAGGCAAGGTGGACCAGATGCAACACATCTTTTCTTAATTAAATTCAGCATAAACAACAGCAACACAGCTTCACACAGTTAGAGTGATAGCCTGTGGCATAAACAAATGCAACACATCTTTCCATAGTCAAAATATTATTCCACAACACTTTCCAGCCTTTTTCTCCTATAACAAGAGATGGTATTTAAATCTAATCCTGGCCTTCGGGTTTCCAGTACAATGCACCACTGAGTGAACCTGATGACGTATGGGGGTGGAAAGACACTGACTAAGCAGACTCTGGGGACCTCTGCAGTCTCTACTGGGGACTCAGTGCTACTGGAGTTCATCTGTAATTACGGAAAACAGAAAGTACACATTCCAGTCTCTGACCCACCTTTCCCAATAAATAGGAAAACCAAAACTCCAAAATAGGATAAAAATTAGACAGGAAACTCTGTATGCATAGACTGTCAAAGCTTGAAGATTTGGGCACATGTGGTCTACTTGGATTTCCTTAATTTTCTTTTCTTTTCTCTCTTTTTTTTTTTTGTTCCTTTTTTCTGAGAAATGTTTTTTGCTGTAACTCTGGAGCCTGTCCTGGAACTAGCACTGTAGACCAGGCTGGCAATAAACTCACAAAGATCCTCCTGCCTCTGCCTCCTGAATGCTGGGATTAAAGGCGTGTGCCTTTAATCCACCGGCATTTATTTCTTCTCAAGATCATGTAGGATCCATGAAATAAGAGGATATTTGGTGATGTTTTGCTCATATGACTTTAAAGTGTTCAGTGAAGCTCTCCATGGGTGGGGCAGACGACACACCCTTCCACAGCAGTTCCTCCACAATGTAGCCCTGGGGAGGAGGGAGGAGGCTGCGGCAGCAGAGCTTAACCAGGAGCCTTTAATCCCCTCTCAGGAGGCTGAGACAGGAGGATTTCCTGAAATGCTTAGGCTACTCAGCAAGACACAGGTTCAACAGAAAATATCCAAACCACTATGTATAAACAAGGTCCAATATTCAAATATCATTTTAAAACAGGATATCTTTACCTAGTCCTGGTCATTCCAGTACTCACTCTTTAGAGGCAACTATCCAGGCCCCTTATGCGTATATCGTATGCTAGGATTGAAGGTGTGGGCCACCATGCCTGGTTTTACAATAATTTAAGAAATTTGTTAAATATCCTCAATTCATCCAGAATTTGGCTGAGCACCAGAGCCATACAGAATGTGTTTAGTCCATTATTTTGTGACTTAGGAATATCTGGGAGATTGTAGCTAATCCATAGTTATCGGGAAAGTGGGGCCTGACATCTTCCCCAGGAGGCACAAAGAACAAAAGGTAGCAGTAGAGGACACAGAGGGACAGCGGGACAGCACAGCCTGTGGACAAGGCGAGACTGGAGGGACACTGGGACCCCTACGATGGAGGAGGTCGCACTGAGTCTACCAGCTGTTAGTCTGGCGGTCCAGCCCAGATGTCCTTTACTTGATGTCAGTACTTTTACCAGGCCCAGTGCCTGTGCTTTGGATGCTTCCCTGATGTTCAGAAGCACCCAGTGGCTTCTTCTGCCCAGATGGAAGGTCTATCTACAGTGTTCACTTGAATGCAGAGGGAACTCAGGGAGGGCGTGGGCAACTGCCCTGAACAGAGACCACAGCAGTGGGTTTCAAGGGTTAGGTAAACAAACCCTCACCTGTTTTGTGGTATAGTTTTATTGGCTTGAGTTTACAGAGACAGAATCTCATGTCACCCAGGCTAGCCTACACTTAACACTGCACACAAAGATGATCGTCCACTTGAGCCCTCCTCCCTTGATCTCACAGTTGCTGAGATCACACACAGGGGTACCACACCCATGTCATGTGATGCAGTGGATGGGAAACCACTGGTTCACACACAGGAGCCAGTTCCGAGTGCATTGAGACATAATAGGAACTTTAAGCCCCAGGAAAAGGGAGGCAGTCAGCTAGAAAGCTCGGGTGTTAGCTGGAAGGAAGGAGACTTCTGTTTTCCTTTTATATGTTGCTATCTCTGTTGTCCTCTTCTCCTTTAGAGACAGGGTTTTAGGGACCCTAGACTGACACACTCGCCTTCAGTAACATAGGGTGACCTTGAACTACTGCTGTGCTCTCAGTGGGGAATCGCTGCTCCGCTCTAGGGCCAGGGGCTGAGCAAGGCCCCATTAAAGGAGTTAGCATGGGAGTCCCATAGCAGGACAGCCTTCCTTGGAAACCAGTGTCCCAGGAAAGCCCTGTCCCTTCTGATTATGAATCCCGGAGCTTCCTAGCAAGTCTTGATGATCTTTGGATGCCTGAATATAGCTATGTCTAGTGTGTATTAGGCAGATATTCGAGAGAAATAAGAACGGTCCCTTCTCTTGAAAGAAAACTTCTAGGTGCCCAGAATTATTTAGTGGGAAACAGGCAGCAAATGGCAGCCAAGGCAGAGTGTGTGAAAGGGCAGAGAGAGAGAGCTCCATCTGTGAACAGCAGGGGAACAAGACAGAGGGCAATGGGACATGGCAGCAATCCTTGAACCATCAAAGCTTACCTTTATTGACATACTAGTTCCAACAAGACCACGGCCACTACACCTTAGCGGAGAGGACCATGGATGGTGGAATGACCGATGAAGTATGCAAGACCATGGGGCACAGTCTCAAACCACCACCCTGTGTTTCTTCCTATCCTAAAAATATTTCCTGATATAAGAAAGAGTTTCTGAGCTGGGCAGGGGTGGCTCACGCCTTTAATCCCAGCAATAATGAGGCAGAGACAGGCACTCAAGAGGCAGAACAAGGTTGATCTCTGTGAGTTCAAAGACAGCCTGGTCTACAAGAGTTAGTTCCAGGACAGGCTTCAAAGCTATAGCGACACCCTGTCTTAAAAAAAAAAACAAAACAAAAAACCAACAACAATAAATAAAAAGGAATGACTTTGTTTTTTCCATTGCCTGCATAAACTTAAGTGCTTCCTATAACATCAGCTACATCCAGTTTGAGGCTGTCCCAGACTGAGTACGGTTGTAGGACAAGAGGGCAGGAGAATGAAAATGTCATGAGCAGCCATCTAGGGGAGTAGAGGTTGCACTTGTAGGAGAGGAGACTTTATACCAGGAGCCAGGTGTGGATAGATGGGAGAGGGCAGGTCCCAAGGCACCAGAAGAGGAACCTCAAGTGACAATCCTTAGCCCCTCTTTACTTGTAGACCCCACTGAAGAACAAGGACAAGGAAGGAGAGTTTTACTACAGTGACCTTTATTGATTTTCCCATTGTCTTATGAGGTAGAGAAAGAAGCCTACGCCCTCAATGCTGCATGGTCCTGAGGCTTTCAGAGGAGAAACAAGAAACTCCACTTGTCTTCACTGAGGATCTGGGTGCTAATCAGCGTTAGACCAAGGTTACTGCCTGACATGGGGGTCTCCTGGATCACAGGCAGGAGGTAGGTGTGGAAATGACGAAGGATGGCTGTGCTTCAGGGGGTCCCCTCTGGGAAACGGAATTCTTCGAAGACCTCGTAAACAATGGGTTCCCCTGAAGCTGTGTAAAAGAAACAGTGGTACCACAATCTAAAGGCCGATTCACGGAAGGTTGACAGTTCTTGGCAGGCAGGCAGACATACACCAGACCCATCACGGCAGCAAGGACCTGGAAGGGAGAAGAAACAAAGAGAGTTCATAAGCATGGCACCCTCACTCTCTGAGCTCAATCATACTGAACCATGATCTGCTCTATGTTCTGGTCCACCTGGAACATGTCCGATTTACATTCTTCTGGGATGACATAGAGGAAAGACATTCTGGTTTTCTATGCACAACAATGGGCTGTGGGAATGGGGATTTATACCTGTTTTTCTCTGCTCTATGCTCATGAAGGGCAGGGCAGCTTATGCTGCTCTCTAGAAGACTTGACAGAGGAATACAGAAGAGACTAACCTGGGGGTTGGCCCAGGATCCTATACAGGGCCTCGGAATACGGAGAAAACAAGGGGACAGCCTCTGGTCTCCCACTACAGAGTGACCTGTGCAGATTCTGCAGGGTCAGTAACAGGTCTACACAGCTTTCCCAGCTCTTCTTTAAACCCCTCCTCTCATTGATTCGCTGGCAAATCGCCCAGCTCTTCTCCAAGATCTTCCTGCCTGGGTTTCCCACTCTGCGTTCAACTACTTCCCACTCCTCCAGGAAGATCCTGATTTCAGAGTCAGTCCATGGGTGACAGGAAGAACCTGCAAGGGAAGGAGGGATGTGATGAGTGCCTTTGACGCTTCGAGCAGGCTCATCTCAGCTTTTCCAGGGACCCTTCATGAACTCTGACAGAAGCCAGAAGTGTCCTTGTTCAGTTCTCAAGAAATTAGGAACACTTGCTCACATGCCCAAATTACTGACTACCCTGCTCTTCATACTAAGGTGTACAACGACTTGCATGTGTAGGTGGGTTCCTTCTGTTGTAGAAAACACATTTCAGAATGGAAAGGGCTCACACGGGATAAGCGCTGCCTGTGAACATTGTTCCTGCATAGACTCCACCCATCTACCCCCCCCCCCAGGGAGACTCTCACAGAACTCTGAGACTTTGAGTCTCTTGCAAGAAGGGCAAAAACCTGGGACCACTGAGGCCAAGCCAGTCCTTGACACAGCTATCCACAACTGAGATCTTGCCTAAGCCTGTGTGTCTCCAGGAAAGAAATAGGATGGAAGATTTGGTTTTTAACTTAGGGTTGCCTCTGAATACCTGAGGGCCTTCGTCCTTCCTGCTTCCCACTCTGTTCCATATTCGATTTTTCAGTGTTTCTCAATCGTTCCTCTTGGTATGGTTCCATCTGCTCAGAAATGAATAAAGAAAATATTAAAACTGTTTCCATGCAGCAAAATCTATATCTCAAGGGTGCTTGCATTAGTCTATAATCTCAGGTCTTCTATAACCAAAGTTTGGTTCAGAGGTCCAGGATCATTCTTGGAAGTATAGAAGGGTTTGGGATCGCCTTGGAAACATTGAGATGCTGTGTTAGCCAAGAAAGACCCAGAAAGCCCAAGAAGAAGGGTGCAGAAGTCTGTACCTCTGCAAACTGTGGACATGAGATCATGTTCAAGATAGTTAACCATGTTTTGCCCAATTTCCTCAGTATAACACACAGTACCACCACTGTCCATGAGGTTTGCTATGACTACCAGTGATTTCCTATACACATGGAAAGGAGACAGATGTCAGAGACACACTTTTGGGCTGTAAAATTTATGAGAAAAATTGAAAAAGAAATACACCAGCCATCCTCCAGAAAACACAAGAGTGGACTCCCCCAATCCCCAAATCACCTACATTTTCACCAGAGAGATTTGTTGTGCTCCACAGAGTCTTAGAAGCTGGATTCTCTGTGTCCTGGTGCTGCAGAGTCTGCAGTGTGGAGGTAGAGCTGTGTGTACTTCCCCAGGCTTCTGGAGTCTGAGAGCCAAGTGGAGATCTGGGTCTTTATAAAGCTCTTGGATGGGAGTGAATCAGACCCACCTACCTGGGTGTGGAGGGTGGAGCAGGAGAGCTTAACCAGGAGCCTTTAATCCCCTCTCAGGTGGCTGAGACTGGAGCATTTCCCAGATTTCTGGAACTCTTGGGCTTCTCAGCAAGATACAGGCTCAAGAGAAAACATCCAAGACACTGTTTAAAAACAGGGTCCAACATTCAAATATCATTTTTGAGCCTGTATATCTACATAATTCTGGCAATACTGGAATTCACTATTTAGATGCAACAGGTCCTGCTTTTGCTACCAGTCTCCAGCTCTGGGATTAAAGTGTGGGTCACCATGGCTTGTTGATTAAATACTTTAAACTGTTTCCCTAAAATTCTCATTTCATCTTGAATTTGATGGAAAAACTGAGACATACCAGATGTTTTTAGCCAGTTATTTTGAAACTAAGAGTCGTTTGTAAGGTTGCCCCTAATCAATAATCATCAGAGGAGTGGGGCCTGGCAGTGGACAGCTGGGGAGGGGGAACCGCATGGAGTGAAAGGGTTGAAAGAGAGGTGGTTTCTCTAATAAACTTCACAACCAGAGTTTTCGGTTGGGTGACAATGATCCAGCACCTGTAGACCAGGATTGAAGACTCGACTGTTCTCTAATGCTGCAATAGGCTGATCACTTAATCCAATCACAGCTCAGAGACGGGAATGCCTGGTGCATGCAAACAGCTTTTAAATTGTATGTACTTATTTCTGAACAGAGAGCAGCACATTACTTCAAAACCTTGATGTACACTTAGAAAGCCTAGAAACAGGGAAGGATCCATGAAGGACCATTGTGCTTATATATGTAGAGCCAAAACTGTGTCCCCAAAACAAACAAACAAACAGAATGCTAAAATCAATAAAGTACAAATAGAGACAAATACAAAGAATCAATGAAAAAATACTTGGTTCTTTGGGAAAGTCAACAAAATAGACAAACCCTTAGCCATAATAATTAATAGGCAGAGAGAGAATATCCAAATTAACAAAATCAGAAAGGAAAAGAGGAATATAACATGAGACACCAAAGAAATCCAGAGGATCACAAGGAGACACATTATAAACCTGTACTCCACCAACATTGAAAATCTAAATGAAATGGACAACTTTCTCAATATGTACCACTTACTAGACAAATCTATAACCCTAGTGAAACTGAAGCATCCATTAAAAGATTCCCCCACCCCACAAAAAGCCGATGGCCAGATAGATTTAGCAGAGAAATTTACCTGACTTTCAAATAAGAATTAATACCAACACTCCTCAAATGATTCCAGACATGGAAACAGAAGGAACATTGCCCAACTCATTTTTTGAGCCGTAGTTACCCTATTCCAAACTAGACAATGGCTTAAAAAATTCCAGAGCAATTTCACTTATGAACATGGCTGCAAAAACACTCAATAAAATACTTGACCACCATTTCCAAGAATACAGCAAAAAGATTGTCTGCCATTATTAGATAGGCTTCATCCCAGAGGTGCAGGTTTGATTCAACATACAAATACCAGTAAATGATGTTCACCCCATAAATAATCGAAGGAAAAACAACATGATCATCTCAATAGAAAAAGACAGAAAATGCCTCTGATGACATCTAACATCCTCTTAGGAGAAGAGTCTTGTAGAATCAGGGATAGAAAGGACACACCTAAACAAAATAAAGGCAATATCAGCAAGTCTACTATGCAACTATAATGGAGAGAAACTCTAATCTATTCCACTAAAATGAGGAACAAGACAAGAATGTCCACACTCTCCATATCTATTTAATATAGTACTGGAAGTTTTGCCTGGAGATCAAGTGGATACAACCCGGAAAGATAGAAGTCAAAGAATCATCCTTTGTAGATGACAGTTCATATGTATACGTCACCCTAAAAATTCCATCTGGGAACTCCTACAGCTCATAAACACTATCAGCAAAGGGGCTGGATTCAAAATTAACTAAAAAAAATCACCAGTGTCCTACATACAAAGGACACACAGCCTGAGAAAGAAATTGTGGAAACATCTTTTACGGTAGCCTCAAACAATACAAAATATTTCGGAGCCATTCTAACAAAGCAAGTGAAAGGTACATATTACAAAATGTTTACGTTTTTGATGAAAGATATTGAAGAAGATATCAGAAGTTGGGAAGACCCCCCCCCCCTTGCTTACTTGGATTACGACAGTAAAAATGGCCATCCTACCATAAGCAATTTTAGAGATTTGATGTGATCCCCATCAAAAGTTAAACACAGTTTTTTAAAGCCTATGCAAGGACAATCCTCAATTTTTTATTTGTTTTTTTTTTCAAGACAGAGTTTCTCTGTGGTTTTGGAGCCTGTCCTGGAACTAGCTCTTGTAGACCAGGCTGGTCTCGAACTCACAGAGATCTGCCTGTCTCTGCCTCCCAAGTGCTGGGATTAAAGGCGTGCGCCACCATCGCCCGGCCGACAATCCTCTATTTCATATTAAAAAATAAAAACCCAGGATAACTAAAACAATTCTGAACATAAAAGAACTGCTGGAAGTATCTCCAGCCCTGATTTCAATTTGTACCACAGACTCTAGTAATAAAAAATATGAAATCAGCATAAAAATTGATGTGTTGATCAATGGAACCAATTGCAGATTCATACATAAATACACATACCTCTGGACACCTGAATTTTTATAAAGAAGCCATAAATCCATACTGGAAAAAAGTCAAAATCTTCAGCAAATGGTGCTGATCTAACTGGACGTCAGCACATAGAAGAATTCAACCATAACTTGGAGCTAATGAAATTTAGTGACACACACAACAAAACTAGTCTGAAATCTGAGAAAGGGACCAGTCAGGAGTAGTGGGGTAGTTCATCCAGTTACGAGAAGATGAGAAAGGTGGAAGGGGAGTAACAAGAATGTACCCTGTGCTTGTGTTACATCATCCAAGAACTGACAGTGAAAACTGTTGCATGATATTTTGTTTGTGTTCTGAGAAGTAGCGCTTGCCTGGAGATCAGAGCATGGAGCTAGCCACTAGTTAACCACAGAGGTCAGGCAATTGTGGCACACACCTTTAATACCAGCACTTAGAGGAAGAAGCTGGAAGATCAGGAGTTCTAGGTCACTCTGGGATACAGGAGATTGAACCAGTCTAGAATTAGAGCTGGGTTGAGGTGAGTCACACTTTTGACCCCAGGACTTGGATCTTATGGCTTTGATTCCAGCACATGGGAGGCTCACACCTTTAATCCCAGCACTAGGAAGGTGGAAATAGAAATATAAGGTTGGTAGAGACTGGATCCCCTATTCATTCTGAGGATTCATAGAGACAGGATCTCTTCCATTCAGTCTGAGGGTTTATAGAGATAGGATCACCCCCATTTGGTCTGAGGATTTGTAGAGATAGTATACTCCCATTCAGTTTGAGGATTCTATTTTGTAGAGGTAAGAAGGAATTGTGACTGTTACTCTGCTTCTCTGATCTTTCAGCTTTTACTCTAATATCTGACTCTGGGTATTTATTGATTAAGACTAATTAGATTCATGCTTTGAAACTGAAAAGCATGTTTGAAATGACCACTGATTGCTGTGGGACCATGGTCTATATTATATTTTAAATAAATGCTAATTGGCCAGTAGCCAGGCAGGAAGTATAGGTGGGACAACCAGGCAGGAAGCAGAGGCAGGGCAATGAGAACAGGAGAATTCTGGGAAGAAGAAAGCTGGTTCTGCAGTCCTGACCCAGCCGTAGAAAAAGCAAGATATGACTGTCTCGCTGAATAAGGTACTGAGCCACATGGTTAGCAGAGACAAGAATTTTGGGGTAATACAATTATAAGAGTAAATAAGAAGGGCTGGAGAGATGGCTCAGTGGTTAAGAGCATTGCCTGCCCTTCCAAAGGTCCTGAGTTCAACTCCCAGTAACCACATGGTGGCTCACAACCATCTGTAATGAGGTCTGGCGCCCTCTTCTGGCCTGCAGGCATACAAGCAGACAGAATATTGTATACATAATAAATAAAAAATATTTTTTATTAAAAGAGTAAATAAGAAGCCTGATCTAATGGGCCAATCAGTTTATAAATAATGTAGACCTTTGTGTGATTTCTTTGGGACTTAATGATTGCGGGAACTGGGCAGGACAGAAACCCCGACAACAAAAGGCACCCATGTAGATAACTGTATCCACATAAAGCCTGAGGAAGCTTGGGAAGTAATTCTAGACAAAAAAGAATAGACTTAAGCACAGCTTATTGATAGCAGTATTTTCTCAGTTGGGTTCTGCTTGCTAGAGGC